CTCCATCCTTCAGTATCAAACGATGTGCTTATCCAGCGTCGAACTGGGCCTTGTTTATAAAACGTTCGTCAACAAACACACTTGTGAAACTGCGTTGCTGATCCGGAAAAACAAACTGCATCCACTGTTTACATAATGCTGGGTTCTTTAGGAAGCTGAACAAAGTTATCTTTCCCTTACAACCAAAAACACACTTCTTTGGAGACATTCTTCGATCCTGAGCAAGTCCCGTGCTGCGCTGCCGCCGGATGAAGCGTTGATGGGCTTGCGATCTCGCTCGGGCTCTGGTTGATGTGTGCGCAGGGCGCGCTATTCCAGGAGAAATGCCCATATAAGGAGTTCCACCCTCATCAACGTCATGAAGAGCCACCATCGGAAAAAAAACAATCCGAAACTTGTATGAACCCAGAAGTACGATTTTTGGCACAGAAATACTCCGTCATACGTCCAAATTGTTTTTTGAAACTTTGTCCATGCTTAGCATGAGAATCCAACTCTTTAACAGTGTAAACAACTCTGATTTTACACGGACACTGCAAGTCCGTTAAGACTGCGTGTGGTTGCTCTTTTGTTGATTTTGATTGCTTAACTGATAGGGGTGTAACGATTTCTCGATGCATCGATTACATCGATCTTGAAACATTGATTTTTTTAATCGTGAATCATCGATTTCGGACAGTAATCGATTTAAAACGCTAAGAATCGAATGAATCGCGATTTCTATAGCGATTCAATGCTTTCAAAATATATACACATTAAATTACTACAAGCAGGAATTAATGGAGACCTTGAACAGTTCGTGCCTCGCATCTCTCCTTCACGCGCTGCATTTACCGCCAGTGACTGTCACAGGATTGCGCTCGCGCTCCGTTCGTCTCACTGACATGTTTTGAGCAGCTGATGTGTGATCTCTCCTTGGTACTCGTGGCCAGTAATGCTAAAGTGAAGTAGTTTTGCTTTTCTGTAGTTTTTCAATGGGCCTCTCGGTCATACCGACGACATTACTTGAGCAGCAGTCGAAGGCTGCGCATTTATTGCATGGACGGAGCACAAATGTAAGTGTCTAAAGCATACGCACAGTTCCATTGAATGATAATGTGTTTTAACAATGCCGATGAACCGAATGTACGAAGGAAACTGTTCAAATAACCACAGCATTAACAACAACCTTGAAATAAGAGCGCGAGGTTTATCAGCTGCATGAAAGTAGCGTTTGTTGCTATAGCAAACAGACATCGGCGCGTTTTCTTTCAGAATCATCATTCGCTGATATGAGGAAAAGTTAAATACTATAGCATTTTATTTTATGAAAATGAGATAAAGAAGAGCACTGAAAGAGAAGTGATCTCGCGCTCATAGAACATAAGACATGCCAGGCTATATCTGCAGCTAAACTGAATAAAAAGCAGAATGAACTGAAACGTTAAGACAATAAATACAGTTTATGAATGATGCAGTGCTAATTGACATATAATTTATTACATTAGCCTACAGAAACTATAAAGTATATATTTTTTTTCTGTGCAGAAAATTGAAATAATTGTTTGTAGTATATAAAACAATCATAAAATTGCCATTAGGAAAAAATGATAGATTACAAATGATTGATTATTGTCCAGCAGTGTATTTGATTTCTTATAGCAAATTCAAATTAAGAGATAAGAAAAGAATTCCTTGTAAAAAAAATTATAATTATAATTATAATAATATATACATACATACATAAAATTATTGTATTTGACATTTCTGTCACTTCAGAAATGATGGCTACAGCCCTGGTGTGACAAAATGTTAGCCTATATAATACTTTTAAAGCTCTTTTTTTTTTTAAATATGCACTTAAAGAATGCAGAATCGAATCGTTAATCGAATTGAATCAAATTTAATTGTGAATCGAATCGAATCGAATCGTTGTGAATTTGCAAAAAATCGTTCTTGAATCGAATTGAAAACCTATGAATCGTGAATCGAATCAATTCGCTGTCTACCCAAAGATTCACAGCCCTATTATTTCGTAATATACCGTGTTGTATATTACAAGGCTATATAGTGAATAGTGATATGGCAGACATACAGGCCTACATTAAATTAAATCAGAATGGTACTTATTTGACTCACAGGAATCAAAGTTTAGGAAGTAGCCTAGTGTTGATATTGAGAATGTAGCCTCTGTTTGCTTATCTAACTTGAATCTGTCATCAGATTACTTTTTCCTTTATTTACCCATGGCGTGTCATAAATAAAAGTTTCTGCATTTCTACCAATATTTATGTCAAACTCTGTTCCTTGTTTTGTGTGTGTTTTGCTCCCCATGTGCCTTCCTTGCCCTTATTTGGTCCTTCCGGTTCCTGTCCCCATTTAGTTCTATTAGTTCCAGGTGTTCCTTGTTATTAGTTTTCCTCCTCACCTGTCTGCCCCTCGTTATCTGCCCTATTTGAGTTCTAGCCCGTTCTGTTCTCCCTCGTCTGGAATTGTATGTCTACCCTTGCTACGTGTGTTTTCCTTGGTCCCTGGATGTGATTAAAACCTATATGTTTGAATTCCTCTCAGAGCTCCTCACAGTAGCGAAGCGTGACCAAGCGTGAGTTATAAACCATGCTATTATCGCAACTAAATAAATTATCAGACATGCTCTAAAGAGGTAAATCGTTTACCTTCTGTTCCACTGCTGAGAAGAAAATAAGTTGCCGTAATGAAGTGACGGGAAAACATGTCATAACACGTGCCATAACAGGCATTCATCCACTGTAACTGAGTAAAGGAACTCAGGTAAATATCAATCAATCAGTCACTGCATAGAAAGATACCACACAGCTAGGGTTGCCAACCATCCCATATTAGCCGGGACGTCCTGTATTTTGGGCCTAATTGATTTGTCCCGTACGTGACTTCCCTTGTCCCGTTTTTTGACTGCTACGCTGATCTAACCACTGACTGATACAACAGCAGCAGTGCTGATCACTTGAGAATGATCACCGATACCTGTATGAAGGTAATTGAATGCCTAAAAGATTTGCATATGCAGGGTAAGAGTTGTGGAAGTGAACATAAGACTGTAAGCGTAAATTAAATTTGCATGCGCAAGAGAAGCTTTGTAAAGGTGAAAATCGCGTTTCAAGCGTAAGAAAATTTTTTTTGCAGCATTTTACTGTTACTCGTAAGTGTAATTCAAGTATTGTGAAACTGCAGCTTCATGCTAACGCAAAATAAATATTATCTGCATTCTTCTGACTTCCATTTTTCCGCACTTTTGGCACTAAAATATGGTCAAAAGTACTGCAAGCCTGTGAACAGTGATTTGCAAACGAAAACAACCCAGCAAACATTGGTCCAACATTGTCCCTGGCCAAAAATAGTTGCGGTAGGACGGCATAAATTGGTAAAAATATGTAACACAGAACATTTCCTAAAAATGCATTCAGATACGTCTGTACATCTCTACAGTTCTCTGGGGTTGCATGTATAATTGTTACCTTGACTTTTAGCGACTTGTAGTACAATATGTATACCCTGTTGTGAATCAGTTGTGAGAGGACGTCCACTAGTGACGTCCTTTACACGTGCATTTATAGTCCATCAGGACCCTCTATGAAATTCCTATGAAACATGCAAAAGCAATTGTGATTACACCTTTGTTAATACTCCAATAATTAAATTAAGTGCCCTAAGTAGTTTTTAAGAGGTTGTGAGTAATGTCCACTGACGTCCTTTACACGTCTATAGTCGACCATGACCAATTGTAAAAAAATCTGTAAATCTTTATGAAATACACAATCATTTGTATTTACATCACGATCATTTGTATTTAGTTTAATGACTTTGTATTCACAAAGTGCCATGTGTGGTTAAGTGATTGTGAAGCCACTGTATTTTAGTCATTATTCCACCGATTTTATTTTATTTTTTTAATGAAATTTATGCATATACATATGAAACAGATATATATCCGGTCACCATCTCAAGTGTGAGTTTTATGTGAATTTCCAAAACTCTGCTGCCAAGATGTTGTAACACAGGGGTGCCCACACTCGGTCCTGGAGGGCCGGTGTCCTGCAGAGTTTAGCTCCAACCCTAATCAAACACACCTGATAAATAAACTTTGACTTGACTTGACTTAACTCTGCAGGACACCGGCCCTCCAGGACCGAGATTGGGCACCCCTGTTGTAACATATCTCACGATTTTTGCAAAATCCCGCGATAGGATAGATTATCTCGCCAGAGAGCGTTAACGCATTTTCCCGTTTCTTCAAACGATCACAAGGAGAGGGCTTGAGGAGGACGCTTTGTTTTATTGTGAAAGTCGACAAATTATTAAAAATCTACTGTTGGGTAAGTACATTTTGTAGTATTTTATTAATGTGGTTGAGTTTTACTTGTTTGACATGAAGGAACCGAAAGAAATGCACACATTGTCAACTGAAATGTAGTTTGAGTTTGGCTAAAATTAGCTAACGTTAGTACGCTAAAAGTAGGGCCAGTGTGAATAAATCTAGATTTAAATTCAAAGAGAAAGGATAGTCTATGCATGACCTTGCGTTTTATTCGTATCCAAAACGAGGAGATGTGACCATGCAGTGTATGTTTCATTCATACTCGAAGCCTGAGGGCGCTCTCGCGCAGAAAGTCCAAAACGGACTCATAGAAGTACTTATGACATGCCAGCCAGAATTTACTGTTTATGTGTGTTTTTCAAGTCATCTCCAGGTAATAAACAAAGTATCTGAATAATGCAGTGCTAAGTGACATAGCATTTATTACAGTAGGCTATAGAAACTATAAATTATATTTTCTACCTTATTCTGTGATAAAAATAGGGTGTGGTATATGAACAAATCATAAAATTGACAGTAGGAAAATATAGGGAAAAAATATTACAGAATACAAATTATTGATTATTGTCCAGCAGTTTATTTGATTTCTTAGCCAATTAAAAGTAAGAAAAATAAATAAAACCTGTTAAAAGTTTAAGACATCATCTAACTCCTTATTGTCAGACATATCAGAACGGAAAAGAACCTTACTGATGGAAATACTACAGAGCTGGTGGATTTATTTATATTAAGCCACGCTGCAGGTGCATGTTATTGTAGATTTTATTATTATTATTTTTTTAAATATTCATATTCTCTTTCCTCAGATGCTGTGAAGAGGTGAAGCCCAAATGATACAGACTCAGACATGGATGCAGCAGTGCCAGAACACCTGAAGCATGCTCCAGGAAGTGCTGGGGCTTGTGGATATAAAAAATTAGCCATAAACAACTTTCACAAACTCTAAAAACATTTACACGTGTTAACCATTATCCAGTATTTTTGTTGTTTACTTGTTTGATTTATGACTGTTTAACAATAATGCAAGACTGTTAGGGGGAAAAAAAAGAGTACTGCTACAGCTCTGACTTTCATGCATCAATTGTGGAACACATGAATCTCACTCCTGAAAATGAGAGTAAACATTTTGATTTTTTTTTTTTGAAAGACTAAAAATAGTTACATATGTATTCACTGTGCTCCTGTACGTTTGTTATTTTCTTGTTTGATTAATGGCTGCTTAACATTAATGTAAAAATATTAGAGAAAATGCCATTGCCACAGACTTAACCACATTCTACTATTTTTATTTTCTTGTTTGAATTGTAGCTGTTTAACAAATGGAATACATTTGTAAAAAATGTAGTATTCACAATAAAATATGTTGTGCTAAATTAGAACAGTCTTCTTTTTACTTTAGTCCACAAATGTGTTATTGTTTGTGATACACCTGATTAAAACGTTTTATAGACGTTCAGGTCTGACTGGACCGATTTTGGACCTTTTTAGAACATATGTCAAGTTCAGATGTGCCTTTCACGATGTTGCACAATGGGTGTGTGATTATTTTATATGCAGGCTTATACTTAAATTATGCAGCAACACATTATAACAATCCAGAAGAAGACACACTTAGACGTCCAGGGACGCGCAGAAAAGACGTGGAATTCACGGCCAGATGACGTCAAAGACGTCCGTTCAACTTTCATTTTGGAACTATTTCTCAACCGTGACGGAGGGACGTCTTTTCAACGGTCATTAAACGTCCAAATGTTTGCTGGGAGATGCTTAGCGTAAACACGCCCTTGGAGCCTCTCGGATAAATTAAACACATTCACAGGCGCCGCGTAGAGAGAAAGAAGTTGAGAACTCCGAATCAAGTAAACCGAAACCTCCTTCACGTTTCCTCTCAATCAGAGCCGGGCAAACTATAAGTAGGCTAACACTGCATAGGCGCTCCGTATGTAAGGCTGGGGAAGGCTTAAAAAAATGCCCCTGCACCAATAAATTAAATCTATTACGTCTGTTTCTATCAAAGTGAATATGAATAGACAGTGTCGATTGCGGCATTAAATTAAAATCCGCTCATGTTGCACCGTATTTCATTTTAGGCGTTTTTACAGTGTTGCGCATTTTAACCAATCACACACAAGTCTGTTGAGCTTAGGAATGCAATGGCCAATCAGAAGCGTTCAGATGAGTCATCGCTGAAACTCATCAGTTTTGTCGAGTGCGCGCGCGTTCGCTGACTGAATTCCGGACTCTCATCATAAACAACAAAGCGCAGATGTACCTACAATGTAAGTAAGAGATTCATTTCACAGTGTATACAACTTCAAGTGATTATAATGATAGTTTTTTTTTTGAGAGTGCTTAAATTCGCAATAGATCAATGTTACTGATAATGTCATTTTCTGTATATAATTTATTCGCTGTTTGAATAACCGTGGAAAGGAAACGTTATATTTATCAATTTCTAGCGTTTTTATTAAATTGTAATCCCGTTAAATATAAATTCAGTCCCATTAAACATTGTTTTAGCCTACATGACACCCATGTCTGGTTCTTGCCTAAAAAGTTTATGATGTTACATTTAATACATTTGGCTGCTTTTAGTCTTACCCTGAGTTGGTTCACCCTCTTCCTATGCTAACACTGTTCTAAATTCAGCTTTAAACAGAATGTCTTTCAGTAAACAAACAGAAATTATTATTTTATAGAAGGCTAATTTGATGATAAACTACTGGGACTTTCGATATACTCGAAGTACTCCTCTGTTTTCTGTTGTTTCCATTTCCCACATTTATTCCCTCAGTGAGCAGTGTTTTTGTGCTGCAGTGTTGCTCTTATGTTGTACTATACTGTATATATATATCATTTTTGGAGAGGATTCATTGGTCCAGTCTCCAATTTGCCCTTTGGCCTTTGAGCATCATGGTCTCCTAATTATGCTCACATCGTCTAATTATAGCTTCATCACTATAATATAAGCTGGTGTGTGGAGGGCATTCTGGCGCACTATAGCTGCTGTCGCATCCCCAGATACCAGACGGATGTTGCACACTGGTGGTGGTTGAGGAGATTTCAAATTAAAGAGCGATTTGTGTCTGGAGAAAAGTAATATGTAAATGTAATTTATGTAAATGTAGTCCCAAAGCATAGATCTAACTAACCACACTGTAAAACTGTGGGGCCGTGGTGGTTCCGGCAGGCCAGGATCCCGCCGTCGAGCCTCTGAAACCGGAGGAACCGGAGTTACAGTACATGACACAGGAGACACTTTAAAACTGTCAGTGCACTTTAAAATGTAATTTGCTCTTCCAGTCACATGCTTATGGTTGCATGGAGTTATGCTGAATAGCATTGCAAATTCCGACAGAAACCATTAAAAATCTAATGAGGGTTTCCACCTTTAACTAGGCCAGAATTTAATTGAGGCTTTGGGTCTTATTTATTAAATTCAATAATAGCAATTTATGCTATTATTTTGATATGGTGTGTGAGATTTTTTTCTCTTGCATTGAATTAACAACAAATGATATTTGTGCTCTAGAAATGTGTAACAACTGCATAAGTATGCAAAAATACAAAACCACAGAACAAAACTCTCCTGTCCAAAAACATATGAAGCTCAATACATGTGCAAAAGCACACAGAGCAGGATAAGTGCATGCTGTGTAGGTAAAGGAAATGGAAACCACAAGTATAAGAATGAACATGATTGAAGAGCACAGTGAGAGAGTGACAAAAATGAGTGTTCAGTCGAGTGATTTGGATGGTGACTGTAAGGATTAGACTGAAGGAATTTATATTTTGAGACCATCTGTGACGAACCTGGCTTGTATTTAAGATGGATTCAGCATACCTGAGAAAGATGGCTTTGATCCTTTACATGTTGGTAGTTTTCATCCTGCATGTGAGCACTGATACACAAGGTGAGTTCATAGCATGTTTGTATGATGTCCAAGACAAAATCAACTGATGCTGTGATTTTCACGGACTAGTTTTGGTGTAAACAACATTCAATTGAATTTTTCTTAGTAAAAGTTAAACAAAATGTGGGGATGCAGAAGGTATTATTCAGTTAAAAATTGCAAGTGGAACGGCAATCATAATAAAAGGTAAGAAAGAGATGTTTTTTTTAAAGAACCTTTGGCTGAATGGTTCTTTTTGGAACCAAAAATGGTTCCTCTATAGCATCGCTGTGAAGAACCTTTTAAAGCACCTTTATTTTTAAGAGTGTGGCTTTATGTTTGTGGAGGGTGTGGACTCATGCTTGTATGAGTGGCATTGATTATGCTCCTCCATCTCACCCACAGTGAAAGAGAAACCACTCTGTGTGAGCAATAGCTTAGCAAAATCCCAAAACCTCCCTCGAGGACCATCAACAGGGAACAAGTTGTTTTAAATTTTCTTTAAATCCAACACAGAAAAAAGCAAATGCATGGTTTGTTTAAAACCACATTTTAGTTTAGATTTCCAGTTCAATTTAATTTGCAGACATCACTGCAAAAATGTATTTTATTTTTTATTACCATCATTTATTTACTCATAGAAGAACCTTTTTGTCTAAATGGTTCCATAAAGATCCTTTAAAGGGGTCATATGATGTTGCTAAAAAGAACATTATTTTGTATATTTGGTGTAATGAAATGTGTTT